TATATATATACGTATATATATATATATATATATATATATATATATATATATATATATATATATATATATATATATACACACATATATACATATATATATATATATATATATATATATATATATATATATATATATATATATATATATATATATATATATATATATATTACATATATGTATATATTTCATAGATTATTTTGGTTATATTTATTAGTTCGGAATATAAAATGTAATTGAATTACTAATTATCAAAAAAAAGTCATTGTTCTGCAAAATTGACACACAGTATTGATTTTTTTATGCACTGCCTAAAAACTAAACTAAACAATAACTGATTTTTTATTACATACACAAGATCAAACAAAATTTATAGAAATTACTCACTATTAAACAATTTACAATCAAACAATAAAATGTACGTGCATAACATTTGATTTGCTTTAAAAATTTTGTTTATGTATTGAGCAATACAGTTGTAGCTTTTTCTTTAGGTTTAAGCTTAGTTTTTTATAACTCTTCTTTGATTGGATATCAAACAAATCTTTTGATTGGACAACGAACTTTTAGGAAAATGTTGTTTTTCAATCCGATTACTCTCAAAACTCCGTTTACAGGAACATAACAAACATATTTGCTCTAAGGTGTGTTAAATTGTGTTTCCAATTCTATAATAACTTTGTTGAATAGGTTTAGTGGCTTTTATTTGTCAATATGGTTTGCGTAAATGTTTGCTTATAGTTTCCTATAAATACATTGCCGAATGCTAAATCACACAAAAACGATCTACTCTGCTCAAACATTAAGGACAACTCCCAAGAGTTCATTAAAGGATGAGTTTTTTTGCAATTTTGATTTTGATGATTTCAATTGAGCTATTCAAAACGCAAGGTTTGACTTTTTTCATATAAAAATTTTAATTTGCAAGGCGACAACATGAAGTAAAAGTTTTATTATTTATCAAACAACTTACTCATTTATTAAAACACAAATTTGTAGGACCACGCTTCGGAGTAAAAGAAGACAACGTAAAAGTTGTAAAAACAAACGCAAAACACTTTGATGAATGTAGTAAATGTGCTAATGATAAATCAAAGCTTTTTATACATGCTGGACTCAAAGAATACCACAACTTGAACTTAAAAAACTGTAACATTTCCGATAGTAACTTGAGTGAATGGGTAGGAATGCTTTTGTCTTATAGATATAAATTTTTTTTATTTTAGTTTAAAAAAACAAACACATACATACATTTACACATATATGCATACATTCATACATACACACACTTACAACATATACATACATATATACATACACAAATACATACATTCATACATGCATCCATCCATCCATCCATACATACATACATACATACATACATACATACATACATACATACATACATACATACATACATACATACATACATACATACATACATACATACATACATACATACATACATACATACATACATACATACATACATACATACATACATACATACATACATACATACATACATACATACATACATACATACATACATACATACATACATACATACATACATACATACATACATACATACATACATACATACATACATACATACATACATACATACATACATACATACATACATACATACATACATACATACATACATACATACATACATATATACAGCTAGGCATGTAAACTTATACTTTAAATTTAGTGTGTTCAAAGAATAAATGTCATGTTAAACAAAGCAGACTCCGTTTGTAAGATTTATCCGGAGGAATGTGAGGTACTGATTTGTTTACTAACATAAAAAAAAACTCTTTAATTTTAGTGGCTTACTTTTAAATGTGCAGGCTTCTTGTAAGTAAGTTATTTTTTTAGTTTATATATAATCTTAAAATGTTTAAACTCAATTTTTTTAAATTTCACTTTAGTGCATCAAATCGTGTTACCGAATCAAATAAATACAAGCGCCATGTTTAACTAAATTGTTTCGTGAACCTTTAACTTCAAACTCTGCATTTTGATAAACAACAATGACAATTTTAATTAGATCTATGATTACAACTTTTTGATTAGTATGTATTAAAATATTTTGTAATTAAACGATAATATTTTTATAACGTAACCAACATAAAAATTATTTTAATAATTTTTTTTAAATTGTTTTGTAATTTAAAAAACTTATCTTACTTTTGTAATATAAAAAAAACAACCTTTTTTTTTATATTAAGCCATTTTGAATTTAACACAGCCTCATAGACATAAAAAATCTTGATAATAGCGACAATTTTTGCAATTATTCTTGCTTTAGACGCTTTTTATAATTTTGAAAGGAAGTATATTTATGTGTGCTTGTAATATTTCTATTGATATTGACTTGTCAAAAAGTGTTGTTTTTTTATGATTCAGATAATGTATCTCAATCAGTTTGTAGTTCAATTTAATTTTGTATTTCCAATATGCTTATTTAACGGTAGCACTGCACAACCTATTATTTTTTGTCTTTATAATATCATAGCCATATTCTCTGGCATATATTAATTCGACAGGGTTTTTTAAGGTTTTTTTGGGTAAAAACTCCCGTACATAACTAGTATAAAAATGAAACAAGACATGATATTGTATTGAAAAATTTTACTCAACAAGTAAAAGGACCTTAGAATGCAGAGGATCCTTGAATTTTAAATTAAGCAAAATAAAACTCAATTTTTTCAATTAAACACTGAAAGAGCTGAATAATCTGAATGAGAAAATGTAATGTTAAGTCTTTTATAAAAAAAACTTCATATTTTAAAGAACATTCTAAATCACCGAGGCTTTGAAAATTGTCTACTATGAAAGTTTCTGTTCTGTGTTATACTTCGGTGTGAGCATAAAGTTATCAGAAATGTTGAAAATTGACTCTGAAAAAAAAAGCGCTAATATATGTGTGCACAAAATGAACCCATATTTTACTAAGTAGCCTTTAAAAACAACTTTAATTTTCAAGCATTTTTAGGTGTTTCACTTAGCGTTTTGAGGTTTCCATTTTAAAAATTATATAAAAAACCAAATAAATTTTTGATAATTTTTGATTAAAAAAAAAAAAAAACATTAAAAAGATTGGAAAACATATAATGAACAAAATATGCGTAAATAAAATCTATAAATCTATAAACTATAATCAATAATTAAAGAATAGAGAAAGTAGATTGCATTCTGTAGGGTTAAAATATATCAATCGACGTGTCTAGAATTGTAAATAGCCAGAGTATTGATCACGTATTGTATAATGCTATTGATGTCCAAAAAATGCGCATCTAGTCTTGTGTTTTAAATTCGAGTTCAATACCAGATATTATTCAAAAATACGTAAAATCATGCCAGATTTTGTTTAAACATCAACAAAAAAAGTTCAGTAAAAATTAACTTTCCTAAATATCTTATATTAAAACCTAGTTTTAATAAAAACTTATATTCTATTCATATATGTATAATGTCAAATATATTCAGGTATACACAAAAAGCTATATGAAAACTAAATCTTTATATAGCTTTTGTGTATGTAAGAGAAATCGCTCGGCTTAATATATTAATGATACTTTCATTATTAAAAAATTACATTGAATATTATATTTATAATATTATAATATTTTACTATATATTATTATAAGTTCAATAATATTTTGTATTATCAAGTTATAAGAAGATATATCGTTCAGCCAAAGCACTAGTACATATACCAAATTTTTTTATTAAACGGTAATTTGATTGCATAATATATGTGACAATAGATAATAGCACTAACAAAACTTCTGGTAAATATATTGTTGTTGTTGTTGTTATTGTAGTTGCTGTTGTTGTTGTTGTTGTTGTAGATATACCTCCATTACAGTTTGTGCTGATATGTTGAAATATGTAATAAGGTTTTCGCAAAACGATATATATCGTTCTGCTAAAGCATAATGACATATATCAACATATCAGTGCTAACTATAATATAGATGTATATCTATTATAACATATGTTTTATGTGATAATAGATATATCTCTAATACAGTATGGCCTGAAATGTTGTAAAGATTATTAATTGAAAACAAGTTTACAAAAAAATTAATTAAACGAAAAACATTAAAGCAAAAAATTTACTGGTTTTTATTAGCAAAGTATAACTATTAAAACTTTTTTATATATTTTAATATCCTTAAAGTAGTAAAATTAATAATGTAAATTTGTTAATAAAATATTTATTTCAATTATTAATAAAAAAGTTAATTAATACAACGTTTTTGAAATAAAGGTAAAAACCAGGCTGTATCATTGGAAAAAAAAGAACAAAGGAAAAATTCGCTATAACATCTTTCCGCTTTTAAACTTTTCGCTTTAACTTTTTTAATATGTACATAAAAATGACTTACATAAAAACATGCTATTTTTTGTTAGTTGTATTTTATTAACAATACACCAACGACGCCAAAAATAGGACTTGAATTTAGATGATCTACATAATTTCAGAAGTCTGATAGAGTTGCTTTTCAGCTACCGCTTGATCAAAGATAATAAAAGATGAGGTAAACTGTAGCCACGATATACTGAATTATTTCTGGTGGAGGCAGGTATTAAAGCAGTAAAAATTATTTTAATTTAGGTATGCCCATATGGGATATATATATATATATATATATATATATATATATATATATATATATATAATATATATATATATATATATATATATATATATATATATATATATAAGTATATCCAGAAGAGTTAGAAAATATGATGGTCGATGATATAAAAACTGTTGTTATGTCCCATTTGAGATCTCAAAAACAACAAATTATTGCTGAAAAAGTTCAATTTTTTGCATTAAAACAACAAAGCAATTAAAACATGGTATTATTAGCTCAAAGATTACGTAAATTTTTCCGTTTTTGGGATTTCTAAAAATTAGGAAAAGATGATTAAAGTGCAGAAGATGATCTTATTGATCAGAGAATTAAAGCTCTGGAAACGCTACAAAGAAGAGAGTCGCCTAAACTAGGATCATGTGTCGATTTTGTGAAGCAATTTGAACAAATATCCTGTTTTAGCATACAAAGCAATATTGAATACTACATAGAGCTTCTTTCAGTAAACTATAACAATAAAAATAAAGAAAAAACATTTAAATGCAACTACTGTGGCTTTCAACACCTACCAAGAAAGTGCCCAGCATTTGGTAAAAGTTGTAAAAAAAATTTAAAAATATGCAAAGCAAACATTAAGTATGAAAGAATAGTAAAAAAAAATTACGATTGTGCTTCTGGGTAGATGCAGCATTTTTTTGATGCTTGAGATAACATCCAGACATGAAGAAAACTTTAAATATTTGCATTTTTATACTTATATCAAATAAGGATGCTTTTAAAAAATTGCTATAATTGGAACCTGGGTAAAAAAGAGCCCTAATATTGTGGCTACAACTGTCCAAAACGTGAGAGCACCAAGTTAATAAAATATTTTTTTCATTATTCTTAAAAAAGTTTATGTCTATCAATAAATTTTTAAATTCACACAATAATCTTTTAGCATGTAACAATTAAGGCCTAATTAATTTTTAACATACGCAAGTTGAGAAGGTTCAAACTTTACTTTAATTAACAAATTAAAAACCTCTTCCTATTTATATAAGACCAATAGTGATAAATAAGCTTAACAAATGATACAGCAAAAGTTGCGGCAAAGAGTTTCTCCTGGTGGAAACTAATGGGCATCACCACTAACGCATCACCACTTGTGGTTTTAGAAAAAACCACAAGTGAGATTAACGCGTATGTGCAGATTACGAAATGAGTGTTAATCAAAGCCATGCTCAGATTCATACCCTATTCCAAATATTGAGAAAGTAAAAAATAATTAAAAAAATGTCGGTAAAGGTTTATTTTGCTATGATTGATTGAAAAAAAGAAACTTTTAACAAACTGTTATGGACAAAAAGGCACAAGAATTAAGAACAACAAATATCCCAATCAGAATATTAAGATGGGCATGCTTGCCTTTTGGAAAAAAAAACTGCAAGTGCAATATTTTAAAGAGCGATTTCATCGCTCTTTGAAATATTCCACTTGTTGTTGGTAATACTATTCCAAACATGATTAAATATCAACATGGTATATGTGTCGGTGGTAAAAATGGTAAAGAGCTTAAATCAAATTTGAGTGAAGTTTTGAGCGAATTGTAAGTATTGGGAATGAGTATAAATAAAAGATATCAGTGAACGAAACAAAAAGTTTTTTATTTTTGGTATACGATGTCATAAAAGAAAGTTACCATAGATCGTAATTTTATAAGCAAAATACTCGAAATAAGTCCATATAATCATAAAAAGAAACTTGAGTTGCATATAAGAAAATCTAATTAATTGTAAATTTTTATGGTCGACACATTGAAAAAAATGACGAAAATATTCAATGCCTTGTTAGTTAACTAAATATAAAGAGTATAAGATATAAAGAGCCTAAGATCTATAACAGCTTTAAAAATAACCATTTCAGTATGGTGAAATCAGTAAATTCAATTAAATTTCATTTAAAAAGAGAAACTTTGAAATCAAATGAAGGCTATGCAATTCAATAAGCAAAACATTTTAATAAATCTTTTTTTTTAAACTTAGTTTCTTATATTATGTTTTATTTTTTTATTTAATCTAATTTATATTTATAGGAGATTATTTTATTTACTGCCTTTTACTCTACATATATAACGGAGATAGCAGTTGTGGCGCAGTGGTGGCCCACTTGCCTCAGAAACAAATGATTCCGGGTTCGAACCACACCTGGTCAAGTTTTGCGACAGGAAGAAAGTGTGAGCTTTCTATTAAACGCTCTTCAGCGGTGCTCTGTGATACTTTTGTTAGGACTTCTTGGGGTACCTGAATAATAGAAAAACATTAGATGCTCATTTTTTTATATTTTAACGGAGTTTTATACAATTTTTCTAACAATTTTATTTTACTTTACACTTGTTAAAAGCACAAAGAGGTTCTATGAAAAGATTTTGATGACTTCGGCCATCTATATCTTCTTTAAGTCCCTGTCTGTTCATATAAATCTTTTTTTTATTATATGAAAATGTTTCTTTGCATTTGAAAACGATTCTTAGTATTTTTTTATTTTGTAATCATATGAAGAAAAAAAAACTGAAACAAGACATTCTAAAGTTGAGAGAGAAAGGTTGGCTATTGTATGGCTACTCATAGAGCTCGGCATATTTTTTTGGGTAGGAAATTTAAATTGTTATTAGATCACAGACAATTAAAGTGTATACTTGATTTTAATAAAGAACTGCAAAAATAGACATCAGCTAGAAATTTAAAATAGCAAATGATTGCATTTAACTACAATATCGGCTATATAAAAGGAGAAAATATTCTTCATGCGGATGCATTTCGCAATTATTTTTTTCATTGTTCCAAAATTGTAGGCCATTCCTCCCAAACAGATTTGAGTTGACTGATCAATGCTTTAA